GGTTACTTTATTGGAACACATCCCCACTCACTTGTGTACATTCTGTCAATGACTGCTTTCAGGCTACAGTGGCCGAGTTAAGTAACTGACCTTCTGACCAGCAAAGCCAAAGATACTTACTACTGTTCGGCCCTTTATAGTAAAAATTTGTCAACCCCTGGCTCTGTATTATATTATGGCCTAACCATAAAAGACCTATTTTCTGCAACTAAATGAAGGTGGATTTAGAAGCACTGAAGTTGTGGACAAAACAGCTGGAATGTAGCACACATCACTGATACGAACCAAATTTGTGAGTTAAGCAATGTTCATCAGATACCAAAGTGATACCTATGACATAGTAGAATATAAGAGAAACTGAAAGCATATTGGTTTACCAAAAATCAATTTATGATAGACCTAGTCCATTGATACAACCTTAGCTAGGGGTGCTTGCTAAGATTATCACTAGTGATGTTATTTTTTAAAAGTATCATGTGGGTCAATATTAGTGCTTTCCTTTTCTCTGAATCACTCCACTTAATGTGGGATTAATTTTAAGAATGGGGCTAGCTCTGATTAGTTTGCTAATCAGCTACTACTTTAAAAATCTGCTAATATTCCTTAAGTTGTGTGTGTACATATATGTATTTTAAATAACACTATAGGGTTCCCAACATGCTATTAAACAGTTAATCCATGCAGTAAAAAAAAAACCAATCTAACTCCAAATTTTGAGAATTGCTTCAAGGTCTTGTACAATACATTACAAATTAAATAAGCCAAACTAAGTGTGGACAACAAGGTGGAAGCTAAAATTGACATTTTTATGTAAAGTTTTCTATTCTTTGGTTTTTAATAAACTTTAGAAACCAAAAAAAAAAAAAAAGCCAAAATAAAGCCCTGCTAAGAAAACCTACCCTTACTACTTTAAAGAACCTGCCTCTAGGGTTTTATTGCTCAAGACTTATCTTGATAAGTATGAGGCAAAAGAGCAGTAAACAGTGTTCAGTGTTCATTATACATGCATGTTGATTTTCCAGTAAGTAAAATTCCTACCAATGAAAACTAAACCAAAACCTAAAGAGTTAGAGGAACCATCTCACAGGATTACTATGGCATTTTGCCCTTTTCCCAAGGGGAAAAGGAAATAAAAACAGTAATTCTTTTTAACAGAAAGTACTCCTCCCCAACTGATCACCATCATGGAAAGTAGCCACTGAGCAGTTCCAGAGCTTTGAGGCAAAACAAGCATTAAATCATATATGCAGGTGGTGGGCAAGTCTGGGGTCTGTATAGGAAAACCTCAGACCCGCTGGACTGCTGCTTCAAACAGAAATCAGTCAGACACAGGCAATTAAAGAAAAGCTTCAGTCTATTTACACTCTTCTCCAAAACCCTCATCTCAGTTTTTTAAAACCCACACTACAAATGAGCAATGCTAAGTTTCGTGTATGTATGTATGTATGTACGTACGTGTGTACACACACACACACACACACACACACACACACACACACACACATTCCTTTGGGGATATACTGAAGAGAAAGGTCTCAGAGGCCTCTCTTAACCATTGCAAATGAGAATGAAAATGAGGTGATAGTGAGACAAACTTAAAATATTCCAGCTTCTGTAACATTTATGGTGAGAACTGTAGCTCGAAACATATTAGAATAATCCCATTACCATGTGCAAAATTCTATAAACAAAAAAAAACCAGTAAAAGATGTCAAAATTAGGTTCAAAAATGTTCTGAAATGACAAACTACATATTACAACTCAAGATTTTTATCTTTTCCAGTACTGGGTGCAGAAAAGGTGAGCAGAGTCCAAAGATCAGAAAAGTTAAAGAACTATACATGCAGTGGAGTCCACATGTCACACAATATAGGCAAATGCCTGATTATTAACACAACCTTTGAGAAACGCACATATTCATACCTAGAGAAAAAAAACTTTAGATACCAAAATATAAGCTTCAGTAACCTTCCCCCATCTCCTATTGTAAGCATTCAAATTTAGTATTACTTAAGTGTATTACTTATATAATGAAAAAAAACTTCAACAAAAGTATACTTCAAAATGAAATCCAACCGGAATTAGAATGAAAAGGGAAATACCTCTGTATGTACATACAGTATTTACCTGGCTCTTCCTTAATGAATGGCAAATCTTCTTCTGGATAGGCAACAGGTGGCTGCATCACTGAGCAATCTTCTAAATTTGTTTCATTATTAGGTGGTATATTATAAATAAATCTCTTTGTAGTTTGGTTTTTCCTCCTTGTTTTGCCCGTTTCTTGAATTCCCTGGGAGCCCATATTATTCCAAATAAACACTTTTGTTTGACCTTGAGATTCATTTTCAGCCAATTCAGGTGAACCATCCTGGACCCAACTGCTGTCATTCATTTGGTAGTTTTCTATTTGGCCCTCGTCGACATCATTTTCAATTTTTACATTACTTGCCAAATTGGTAAGATTCCGTGTTGCCCAAAAACTGGCAATTTTTTGATCCCGTGATGAAGACAGCCCATCTCTATTAACTGGCTTTCTATTATTATAGTCCACAACTACAGACTCTGGAGCTTCGGATTTAATGCTTATATTTAAGGCATCTTTAATGAAATTTCGGCAAGTCTGAACAACTTCACTCATTTGAAGATAGCTGGCCACTGTCATCACTTCAATGGCATTTTGGCTTGTGAGCACCAGGTTACCAGAATACAAGAAGTCCAAGATGACTGAAAAACCTTGAACTGCAGCAATATCTAAATGGGTAGTATTGTTTTGGTTAGGGCTTTCTTTGTTTGAAAAGCAATATAAAGTCTTAAAGAAACGGCTGCCTGCAACCAGGATGTTCTTATGAGCTTTAAAGATTTTTCCGCTCACCACAATGCTGACATCACAAAGAATACCTTTCTTTCTCTGTTCATTTAGTTGTCGAAGAAGTTGATAGCAATAAGAGTTCTCATTTGGCCTACTATTAAAGTCACAGTACCCCTCTTCTGATGGTATTTCTGAATCCTGTAATTGGATGGAAAACATTAATATTAAATTTTATTTTTTAAAGCTCTCAAACCAAGAACAAATATTACCATCATCAATTAACTTTTTAAAAGCACTAATCATATACAGTTGTCCTTCAGAATCCACAGGGATGGGTTCCAGGACCCCTGTAGATAACCAACATCTGCAGATGAAGTCCCTTATAATAAAATGGGGTAGTATCTGCATATCACCTACACACATCCTCCCATCTACTTCACATCATCTCCAGATTACTTATAATGCCTAGTACCATCTAAGTGCTATGTAGATAGTTGTTATACTATATGGTTTAGGGAACAGTAGCAAGAATCTGTACATGTTCAGTACAGACCCCACCATAGTAGGCCTCACCACACAGCGCATGTCAGCTTACACAATGTAACTTTTTTTTCCGAATGTTTTTGATCTGCAGTTGGTTGAATCCGTAGGTATAGAACCTGTGGGCGGATACAGAGAGTGTGCCCACTGTGTACTAATGTTATTGTAGTAAGCATTACGGAGTGTTCACAGTCCCAAACACAGCAGAGAGAAGGAGTGAACAGCTTGGTGCAAGTTGCTGCTATTATGAGAAAAATCAAACACCTCTGATTGAGGATCAGTAGGATTTCATTTACAGAGTAACATGTATCATGTTATTCTTTTGAAATATAAACTAAGGACCTGAATTAAGATTACAATTTAAAAAATCTGGCAGCACATCATGAAGTGTTTGTAAAAGCAGTGAATTATTAGCACCTACACGTCAAAAACTGCTTCAAGTTTACACATCAAGCAGGCCAACACTTTAAGGGGGAGGTGGTTATGTCTAATTGTAGCAGTTCTGTTAGGCTATGGCCACTGTGTTCTGAATTTTCTGGGCCAGTCCCAATTTCTGAAATTCTCTGCCATTATCAGACCAAATGTCCTCATTTTTAAAAATAACTCAGACAAAAGGCTATCCACCAAAATATTTGCCCATTCTAACACAAACTATACAAATCAAGCACAACTACTCAACCACTGTTTTTTCTCATCATTATTGTGTAAGAACAGTAATGTTCCCTAATTTTACAAGCAACACTAGCAATTTCTTTTTCACTCATTAGAGCACTGAGCTGTGTTTTGGTAGCACCTATTAAATATGCCCTTCATAATGAAGGGTTTGCAAGTCAAGAGAGTATGTACTCTCCGAGGGTAGTATTTCTTGAGGATTTGGGTGAAACAGAGCTAAATAAGTACACAGCACTAAAATAAATGGCCAAATATTATTTGCTGAACCAAATAAGAAATTCTTAGTACTAAAGACAAAAAAAACCTCAAAGTGGGTCCCTAAGAGCTCAAGTCGTGGGTCTCCTTGGTTCCTTCTTTAATATTCTATTATAACATGAGATATCACTGATAAGTAAAAATATACTGATGAAAAGGTTTAAATATTTCCAGAAATGGTCTTTTCAGATGTTGGAAAACTTTTTCTATTCCCCTTCCCAGAAAGGAAAACACAACTTAGCCCAGACATTAGTCTGGACTAAGGAAATGGACAGACTTGAAAAAAAATCAGACAATCTGTCACACCAGAGAATCTATAAAAATGAAAAGCCTTCAAGTTTTTTATTTGTGAAGATGCCCATAAGTAAAATTGTAATTTTAGATCTGGAAGAGACCTTAGAATTCTTTTCCATTTAGTTAAAATCCTCATAACATAATTCAAATTTATCTCCAGAGAGGCTAAAAAATAGTAAATATATCACTTACAGAGGAAAAAACTGCTAAAAGCTTGAAAAATCCTGTCTTTACTCATTTATTTAGTAAGTATTAAGTGAATACCTACTTTAGACAGGCTCTACACCAGGACCCAAAATGAGTAAGTATAGTTTCCATTTGAAGTTATCACTAGTGGGCAGGACTCTTAAGGTACTGAATGTAACAAGGGTGTTATGACAGCAGACAAGAAGTGTATCGAATCCGTGTTTTTTATTTTATTTTTTTCCAGAGTGGGGAATGCTTTTTTGGAGGAAAGATCTGATCAGAGCCTTAAAGGATGCAAGAGTGCACATTCTAAGAAAATGAGATAGAGAAAAAGAACCCAGATGGTCTGCAGTATCCTCACAATTGCAGAAAGAACTTCAAGGTGAGTAAAAAAAAAAAAAAGCCCAAGATATGCAAATATGCACTTATGAACATTTCGAGGTAGTGTCTATAGCTTTTATCAGATTATCAAAGGAGATTGGAATCCCCGACAAGATAAGAACTACTGCTATAGGTGCCTTACAGAGCTTTAGAGGCAGAGATCTGATTGGATTAGCAGACAGAAGAGATGACTGGCAGCAAAGTGGAGGATTAATACTGGGGGATGAAGACTGGGGATACTGTGGAGGGGAAGCTAGGAAGCTACTGTTAATAGTGCAACATACTTGCAAGAAACAAGAACCTTAAGTAGGGAAGACATAATGTTAATGGGAAGAGGTGGGGAGGCAGAGTCTGAAAAAATATTTGGAAGGTAAAAATCAGAGCTTGTGTGATTAACTAGATTATGGGGGCAGGGAGAAAAGAATCATAGGGTCTTCAGCATTCTATTATAACTTGGGGGGGCTAGATAATGCCACCAGCTCAGAGAAATCTAGACCGCCACCTAGTCTTACCCTTTCTGAGTTGGAGAGATGTGGCAGACAGTGAACTCATCTGTAGCCAATCCATAAATGATAAGAAAATGCTATTTTGCTAAAAATCAACACGTAATTAGTATTTACCTCCCTACCCAGAATTAATAGCCCTTTCAAGAAATGATTGCAGACCAAATAAAGTGAATGTCAGAACCTATATATTATTCTACAAAATGGTTATTTAATGGGCCATACATAGGCTTATCTTTAATATTTCTCCTTCTTATTGAAAGGTTTTCAGACTTTCTTCCTAAATTGTGAAAACCAACAAGCTTTTGAGCCTTATTTTTGCCAAATGCAAAGAAAGCTGGTAAACCTGTTTCACCTTTGCTTTAGTTGCTGACGTCAACATATTCCAATTAGTAATTTCAATCAGATCATCGATCTGAATTCAGTATTTACCTTCTGGAAAGGTTAACTAAATTTATAACAATAATATATCGGAGTGCATGTTTTAGGGTTAGTAAACTGCCAAGAGTTGACAGAATGTGTGATTTAGGCTATGACTAGTTCACAGGTGTGTAGAAAGTGATCTGAACCAAGATACAGTGGTAATCACTGTTATTAAAGCAATTTTAAAGTACTCTAGGCCAAATGGTCAAATCCTGTATGATCTAATTATTAAACTTGATTCTAGGAAGATATAGTCAGTTGTTACTCAAAATAAAAACTGTATGCTGTCCCTACATCTTATACTCACACATCCTTATAAAGAATACAGGGATCTCTTTGAAATAGAAGTTTCAGAACAGATTCTAACAGCTTATTTACAATCTCTCATTAGCCGTCCTTAACCAGCAACATCTAATGTAATTAACAAAAGGATATCAAACTTTTTAAGAGGGTGCTCTGATGTTTTGGTCATCACCACAGAATTAATGAAAGGGGACTTTTCTTACAGAAAGCATAAGAAAGAAGAGTAACCCTTAGTGACATACAAAGATTTGGCCAAACTCCTCTCTCAAACTGAATTCTTGCCTGAAGAACTCCAGAACTCTCATTTCAGTATTTTTAAGACAGGAGAAAGCTAATAAGATACTTTTTATGAAGCCGAGAACAACTGCATGTATGATGAGAAAGTCTCATGCTGTTCAAAGAACTAGATGGCCAACATCTCTGAAAGGTATGAAAAGGAGAACTGGTTTGCTCTCTAGAATCAAGAGTGATTCCACGAGATAAAAGTGGTTTCAAAACTGACAAAATTGGTAACCCTGAGACATGAGGTAGCAGGTCACAAAAAACATCTTGTTCTACTTATCTGAAAAGAAAATAAGAACGATGATAAAAACAATAGTTACCACTTACTAAGTGATTATGTGCTGGCATATATACTTTACATACATGAGGAAACTATAAGTTTTAACTTCATTTGCCTGCCAAGCAAGTAGAGGGTTAGGAGGCAGGTCCCCCCAACCTTAAGCCCAGGAATGCTTACAACTGTGTTATACTGCCTCCTACAGGTACTGAAAGACTCCAGGACAATTGGGGAAAAGTGACTGAACCCTGCCCACAGGAATAAGCCAGTTCTTGAACCTGTCACTCACATTAACAAAGCAATGTAGGTGGTACCTGGGGTCAAGGTACACACAATAGCAAAATAACACCCCCAACTAAGGTTAGCTAGAATTAAAACAGAAATGATTAGTATCAATTCAGAGTGGAAACATCCAAAAATCCAATCAAGGAACCCACTACATATAGCCTTACAAATGAAATTGTATTATCCTCAATCTAATGAAAGAATGTCCTAAGAGAAAGATGGGCTGCAGATTATATCTATAAAAATGGAGTTTCAAGGGGGCAAAGGGGAGGGAAGGGATAATTCAGAGTTCAAGTTTATTAAAGGTTTTACCTAGGAAGAATTCCTTGATCCAGATACATGCCTGAGGGGAAGTTTACACTGTACTAAGTCTGTCATAAGGTTATCCAACTAATTCCCCTTCCTCTGATTTCAGGTTCACTAAGCAGCTAATTATAATTTGCATTCTCATTCAGATTTGCCTACAGGGAGAGACTATGCTGATAAGAGGAGTAACTGGTCCACTGTATATTAAGAAAAGTCATTCTAATTGTCCTTTTTAAATTTTCTAAATAACCAACCTACCATTACTTCCCAAAGCACACTTTCATTTTCCCAAGTCCCTGACCTCCACCATCTGACTAAATAACTTCAGATACATTACTTAACCCTTTAAAGCCTGACTCCTCTTCTGTAAAATGAGAATGAAATAATTACTTTGCAGAGTAAGGTAAGTGTGTGTTTGGCATACGAAAGACAAGGAAATGTCAGTGCTATTTCATTCCACTGTCCAAGCTCACAAAACTAGTAATTGCAGAAAGCCGAGATCTGAACCCAGATTTACTCGCAAACCCATTCTTTTTCCATTACAGCATTCCTTGTAGGCTCTAGTCTCGGTGGTCACCAAAGACTCTTAAAAGAGTCAGGACAATTTACTTAACCTTTCTGGGCCTTCTATCTTTAAGTGACCTTCCTTCTAGGGCTTCGGCAACTAAAATTTGTGCACAAACTGTTGCCATTGTCCACAGGGAAAAACAAACCTATGCTCTGAAGTTCAAGCCTCAACTTCTGAGAAACTTCTGAGCGATGGGGTTACTGGGCGGTGCCTAGTGAAGCTCAGAAGAAGTGTTCGGAACAGCGAGACCACGCCAATGAGCGCGGGGCGGGCTAATACCCGAAAGCTGGCTTTCTAAACCAGTGATTGGCTAGCGACACGAAAGAATGAATTCCATCCTCCACCACAGGTTGTTTTAAAGGAGAACCGATCAACACATCTGTTTGGCTTGAAAAGGGATGATGAAAATGGTAGACTTATCTCTCTGTCTCTCTCTTGTGGAAACATTAAAACAAGAACTGAAGTACAGCTTACTTGTTTTGTAACTAAAGACTTATGATTTCAAGGAGTTTGGTAAGTATGTTCTCCACCAGTCCAAAGGAACTTTCTGAAAAGTGGGGATTATCTAAAAATCTCAGCACAGACATCTGGGTAAAAGGAAACGAGTTAAGCTACAATAATCTATGCAAAGCATGCCTTCGGTAAGACTAGTCAAGAAGTTTAAATGGAGATGAAATTCTTCACCAGAGAAGAGTGTTAAGCAAACAGCTTCCACCATATTTACATACTGCTCTCCTATTCACAGTATCCTGACCTGATATAAAGAATTTTCTCTGCTGGATGTTTTCCCGAAAGGGGTAGCGTCAAAGGTTAAGGAAATTGTTTAATTCATTCTTCAAAGAGTTGCCAGACTTGACTTCTACCAGCATGCTGAAAGACTAGGAGCATAAGGCAGCTTTTCGAAAATCACAGCTAGTAACATTTTTGACCGCCAAGTTAACCTTTTAGGGTTAAAACCCTTCCACCTCGCTTTACTAAACTTTCTTTCGGATTCAATCGAATGGGCAAAGAAATCTGAATCATTTATAAGAAAAATCAGACGAGCAAACTGTCATTCGCTGCCCCTCCTCCCAACGCACCCAACTTCTGGAAACTTGTCCCGAGCTTCCTGACCTCCCACGCGGGAACTGCCCGCGCCTCTCCCAGCGGGAACGAAGCCTCCCCCGCGGGCAGCGGCTCTCGGAGCCGACACGCCTCCCCCCGAGGGGCTGAGACCGCGGGCGCAGGGTGGGCCGTACCTGGGCGCCGGCTTCGTGGAGCTTGTGCTCCGTGGAGACGTGGTGCCGCAGGAGGAGGGTTTTCTTGTAGTTGCGGGTCCCCCGCGAGAGCTCGTCGTGCCCCGCCGGAGGCAGGTCCCCGCCGCCCGCGTCCTCGGGGGGCTTGTGGCACCAGCCGCAGGACATGAGCCCGGTGTCCTTGGAGTACCGCAGCCAGGGGAAGTCCTTGAGCCAGGCCGTCTGGAAGGAGCACTGGAGCTTCTGCAGCAGCGACTTGGGCCGCGCGAGCGCGAAGGGCTGGGCCGCCTCGCCCTCCGCGTCGTCCCCGCCATCGCCGCCCGACCGCCGGCCGCTGCCGCAGCTGCCGCCTTCCGCCCCGCTGCCGTCGCCCGGGCTCGCCCCCTCCTCCTCGTCCTCGGTGCTGTCGCTCAGGGACGCGCCGTCCGGCATCAGCTCCTTGCCCTCCAGCGCGTCCAGCTCCGGCTCCGCGGCCGCCGGCCCGCGCCCATTGAAGTGCCTCGGGGGCCACGCCGGGGCGTCGGGCCGGCCGCGGCTGCTGCCATTGTTGCCGAGACCCCCGCCGCCGCCGCCGCCGCGGAAGGCCAGAGTCCGACGGTTCCTCTCGGCTAGCAGGGGGCCCCCCACGCCGCCGCCGCCGCCGCCGCCCAGCGAGGCGGGGCCGCCCGCGTCCTGGGGGAGCAGCGATTCCTTGGCTTCCTCGGCGGCGGCCTCCGGGTCCTGGGGCTCCAGGCCCTCCGACTCCACTTCCTCGTCGGCCCCCCGCCCGTTGAGCTGCTGGGGCGCCGGCGGCGGGGGCTGTCGCGGCGGGGGCGGCTG